AAATGCACTGGCCGACTTACGGAAAGTGTCCAAAATGCCCTGGTCGGTTCGCATCCCGTCCGCTTCTTAGTCAGCATCTAGATTCCTTCTTATCCCATGCAGATTCTTTTGTTAAGAGGTCTTCTTGTACTGTGTTGAAATGTGTGAGAGTCGTCGGGGATCAATCCTACCTCGAGGCCGGATTGGTCGACTTCGAGCATCGTCGAGTCGACTTAGGTCACTTACTGGCATTTGGAGATCACGCTTTGCTCACCCGTATTTTCAAGAGAAGTCTGCTACCGAAGTCGACTAAGGAGAATCGTCTTGGAACCACCATGGGGTTGACAGCGATCCTTGGATAGTTCGTGAGTAAAGTCGACCTCAGGGATGTCGTCTTTCTGATGTCGTCATTAGTGGTTATTCGGTCGAGTAACAATCACTTGGACCGGACCATGATAATAGGGCTATATCACCCTCCACGGGCGCAGGCTGCATTCCATAAACCTACAACCTTGCCTATAGTTCTCTGACTGTTGGAGGCTAACATATTACACAAGTGGCGTCGTTCAGTCAAGTTCTATTCGAGGAGGACTACGACCCATCCCAGAGGACACAGTCACACACGGCGAGGCATCAACCCACTGCCAACATTGGTGGAGGTAGAAGACATCGGGCCGTGACCGCGAAAATGAACTTGTCCAAAGGAGGGAACAACATCGGCAGCAAGAACGGCAACGATGCCCAAGCAATCGACTGTCCCCCCTAGCACCTCCAATTTGAGAACACCGGGCCTGAGGAAGAAGAAGAATGTGAGAATTTTTTACTTAACAAAAAAATGATTTTTATTTATTTATTTTTCTATTCTTGTCCAGTCGAATTTGTGATTTTTTAAAATTGAATTACTCAAGTGAAGAAGAAGAATGTGAAGAGAATGTGTCGGATTTTGTAGCTGACACGCATCTCAGAAAAGAAGAAAGGTGAAGCCTCATCTCCTTCACGACGAAAGCCTCGGAAGGGGTCCCGACAGCGCAGACCTAGGGATCCATTAATTCCTAGTTAGTTTGTGTGTTGTAATTTTGTGGACCTTCTGTTGATATTTTTTTTCTTGGATTCTGTGTATTGATATTTTTGACATATTTATTTGTTGAATAAATTATTGTGGTTGACCTTTTTGTATATAGTGTATGTTAGATTAATATTTTGACAAATGTATTGATATTAGTTTGTCGAATTGATATTTTGTTGTGGAATGGATCCCGATACACGATGTGTTAAACGTATTCTAGAATTACATTTTATATTTATTTTTTAATTAAAAAACATATTCTGAGAATACGGTTTAGGGCAAAATTGATTTTAGGGTAAAAATGAAACGTATTTTCAAAATACGTTTTATTTTTTTCGGATTTTAAAAAATTTAAATTTTTAATTTTACATAAAACGTATTTCTAAAATACGTTTTTTGTTTTACAAAAATTATTTTCTGCTGTAATAAATTATAAAATTAATTTTATTTATAAAACGCATTTTGGTAATACTTTTTTTTTTAAATTATTTTATGTAATAAATAAATTATAAAATTAATTTTATTTATAAAACGTACTTTCGAAATACGTTTCAAGTTGATTAAACTATTGTTCACATATATTTTTCCCTAGTTTTTTTTTTGGGGTAAAAAAATCTAAAATTTAATATGCCAAGTAAAAATAAGCATCTATTACTATATAATTAGGCAACACACTTACTAAAAATAGTAAGTGTTTTAGTGGGTCCCTATCATATTACTATTTATGGAAAGTTAGTTTCAATCTTTTTTTTATTATTTTCTTAAACGTGTTCACCTTGCACTTTTTTTCAGTTTTAATAATATTTTGATTAATAGTAAAAGTGGGCCAAAATTTGTTGTCATTTATGGAAGTTTAAAATGTTTTTTCTATTTTGATTTCCCATTAATATCAAAGTAATTTTCTGTTTACATGTACATAACAGGTTGAATCACAGTGAAATATTTATAATTTGTATTAAATAATAATTTATATTTAAAACCTTCGTAAAAATATGAAGATACTAGATAATAATGTGGTACTTATTTGCATCAAAGAGTGGTTCACAAATAAAGAAATTGTAAGTACATGTATATAAAATAATAGATAATAAATAAAATTACATTATAAATTATAAAACCACACAAGCTATTAGAAGGGTTTTTTCTTCTATTTTTTTTTTTAATAAAAAAAACTTGAGATTGGTCTTTATACCTGAAAAAAAAAAATGTTTATAATACTAGCAAGAAAAAAAAAATTACAAAAATACTGAAGCATAACAAAAAATTAGATAAAAGATCATCCTACATATTAATAGTACATAAATATATTTTCAGTTTTAAGATAAGTGAATTAGTACCGGTAAAACCGTGGAGAAGTTGGAGTCTCATAACCACCACGATTTAGATAAACTAGCAAATTGAGTTTGCCGGTAACACTCCCCTACCCACGGTGGGCATATGTTAATATGCCCACGCTTATGTGGCATGTACACATTGGTGATGTATTTTTTGAACATATTAACATCACCAATGTGTGCATGCCACATAAGCGGTGGACATATTAACATGTGTCCACCGTGGGTAAGAGAGCATTATTGTTGAGTTTGCATATATGTTCACATATCACATGATACAACTGCTAATATTTAAAACCTCAAATTTTAAAACCTCAATTTTTTTTTTTTAAAAAAATACAGTTAATCTATTGCATAAATTATTTATTATATCAACAAAATCATATATAATGGTTTTTAAGAAATAATGCCAAAACAATTCGACAAACGTCCCAGCCATAGCCATTTTTTATACAAAAAAAAATATGATACTATTTCTCAAATCTTGCGTATAATGAGAGAAACAAGGATAAATTTCTTTTATATTGCAAGATTTTATTATGTGTGAACTATGAAATTAGGTGCTTCATTTATGAATTTAAAAGGCATGCAATGGGTCTTTTCACTTAAAGAATATCATGGCTCATTATTTGCTCATTTATATAAACTTTTATTATTGTAGCGGTACCTGAACTGTAGTTACTTCTAATATTAAGAATGGGTAATTCATTTTGATAATTAAATCTTTTAAACTAATATAATATTTGTAATTTCAATATATCGTAAATTTTTGAATATATAAATTTATAAAAATACATAAATTAAGTATAAATACAAAATTATAAAATAAAAGGAGATGTATATTTTAAATAAGAGATGAGTTTAAGAAATGATATATTCAAGTGTCAAAATACGATTTTAATTACATAATAAAATTCAATTCAACTGTAATAAAAAGTGTTAAGATAATAAAATGATTTGAGATTTTTTTTTTTTTTTTGTATCCCAACTATACATATTTGCTCATTTAGTACATGATGTCGAACTAAATCAATTTTGTTACCCAACTTTTCATATATTAATAAATTTTGGTCCGCGTCGTTATATTTCATAAAAAAAAACTAATAATTCCAGAAAGAAATTCATTAAATTCATGAAAAACGGTATAAATAACCAAAAACATTCAAGAACAATTAAAGTAAATGTATAAAATTGAGGCCCACTTATAATTGTAAAGTTTATCAAAAAAATATATAGATATTATAAGAGTGTAAATTTTATTATGAAATGATGTATTTTGGTACGACGACAACAACAATAATAACATAGCCTTTTGGTCCCAAACAATTTGGGGTGTATTTTGGTACGACATAAGAATAAAATCAAATAATACATTCATAAATTGAGTTTAACTCAAGAACAATACAATTTAGGATACATATACGTACACACACACACATATATATATATATATATATATATATATATATATATATATATAATTTTATATAAAAACACAAATCAATCATTCATAAGCAACAAAAATTAGTATATTTGCAATTAGAAACAAAAACTTTATAAATGTGAAAATAAAATCAAGTATTGTAGGTGAACAATGTAATTTTCGCAGTGATTAATTAAGGAACCAATGTTTACTATGAAAAAAGTTTTTTTTTTTTTTAAAAAAAAAGATATCACCCTTAACTTTTGACAATCAAACATTTTGAATCTTTTGTTTATATTTCTAATTTGCTGATGCATGTCGCCAAATTTTGAAAACTTCGTCGGCATGTTGTATGCGATCAGAAGTTATAATAGGGCATAGAGACATGAAGTTGGATTGTTCAAATTAATGAGTTATAAACACATATTCCAACATTAAACAAATTTCTTTTATTAAACTTAATATTGTATCAATTTATTCTGTTAATAAAAGAATAAAAAATATATATTTAATAAGAATCCGTTTTTAGACTTTTAGCACTTACAAACTCTTACTTCTTGAGTTACAAATATGTTTTATATATGATGAGAAATAAAATATACAAACATAAACCATTGTATACAGTAATCTATTTAATTATATATAAAAATTATTTATTCTACTTATATTTCCTTATTTGATTTATTTTGAATAGGTCCGTGCATTTACAATATTAGTTGCTAGTTCACGATCCAGGCTATTGGAGATGCGCTTGGATTGTAAAAGCCTGCCATTGCTAGTTTTTTCCACATCCGTTCAAACTTCAAACACAACGCTCTCAGAGCATCTCCAATGGTCTTTTCATTTCTCTATTTTATTGCCACATGGCATAAGTAATCTTATGTGGCTTGGAAAAATTCTAGAAGGCTTTCTAGATGTAGAAGTCCTTCTAGACAACTTCTATTGTTTATTAAATTACTTATTCAATTTATTTATCTTATTCAACTAATTAAAATTTTACACATCACGAACAAAACCACAATTAACATTAATTAGATATAATTTTTTTGTTTTCATTCCATGTCATACAACATAAAATGGAAAATTTTTCATTGGAGATGCTCTCAGAGTGTCGATCACTCCGTTTTTGCAACTTTTTCCCTTTTTTTCGTCTATAAACACACTCTCGCCACAGCCAAGAAAATCAAAATTAACAACCATGAAAAACCTTCGACAGCTGAGAAGTTTATCCACATTCCTCCACACAACCAAAAACCTTAATGAATTCTCAGCTTCCACAAATCACAGCAAAAATCCCATCTTTTTACCCCACAGAACGATCCCTCCACCCACAGGTCAGGATTCAGACTTCATAACCATAGCTCACAGCTATATAATCCATTCCGAATGGGATAAACTCGATAAATTAGCCTCTGCCTTATCCCCCTTTCGAATCAAGCACATTCTTCTCAAAACCCGAAAAGATTACGTCCTCTCACTCGAATTCTTCAACTGGGTCGGCCTCAAAAGCCCCGACCTCAACACGCTCGAGGTGACCTCCATAATCCTCCACATCTTGACCAGGAATCGTAAGTTCAAATCTTCGGAGTCGATTCTGAAGGGACTTCTTGAAATGCGCTCATCCGACTTAAATTTCCCGCGCAGGGTTTTCGAAGCTTTGATTCACTCGTACAGGATGTGCGAATCGTCCCCTCGTGTGTTTGATTTGTTGTTCAAGACTCACGCGCATATGAAGAAGTTTAGGAACGCTTCTGATTGTTTCCGCTGGATGAAAGAGTACGGGTTCTTCCCCACTATTGAGTCCTGCAATGCCTATTTGAGTTCGTTGAGTAGTTTGAATCGTGCAGATATCGTGTTAGCCTTTTATAAAGAAATCTGCAGGTGTAGGATCACCCCAAATGTGTACACTGTTAATATGGTTATGGGGGCTTATGGTAAATTAGGGAAGTTGGATATGGCTATTGAGCTGTTTAAAGAAATGGAATCAATGGGATTGGCTTGTAATGTCGTCTCGTATAATACTTTGATTGCCGGTTATTGTGCCAAGGGTTTAGTGGCAAGTGGTATGAAGATCAAGAATGCAATGGATAAAAACGGGGCCCCAGCGAATGATGTTACGTATAACACGCTTATACATGGATTATGCATGGAGGGGAGAGTACATGAAGCTAGTAAGCTTCTTCGAGAGATGAAAAGTGTGGGCGTAAATCCTACAACGGTAACTTATAACGTACTAATAGGTGGTTATGGTGAAAATGGAAATAGTGGGATGGCACTTCAGTTGTTTGATGAAATGTCTGTGAGTGGGGTGAAAGCCGATATCTTGACCTATAATGCCGTGATCATGGGCCTCTGCAAGGAGGGAAAGACGAGAAAAGCCGCTTACATGGTGAGAGAGCTCGACAGGGAGAAATTGGTCCCTAATTCATCCACTTTTGCTGCACTTATTGCCGGGCAGTGTACGAGAAGCAATGGCGACCGTGCTTTTGAGATTTACAAGAGCATGGTACGGAGCGGGTGTCATCCGAATGGATCAACTTTTGAGATGCTGATATCCACTTTTTTAAAGAACGAAGATTATGAGGGGGCTGTTCGGATTTTGAGAGAGATGATGGAGAGGGCTATAGCTCCTGATTTTGATAAATTGTCCTCTCTTTTTGATGGGCTTTGCCAATGTGGGAAGGAGGATTTGGTCATGGACTTGCGAAACGAGATGGAATCCCGGCAGATTATGCCTGGGGGTTTTTTGTGAAATCAGTGATTGGTCACAATGTGAATGTTTGGGGATAAGTCAACATATATGCATTGAATCACCATGAGTTAATGTTCTATGGTGCTTGCAGAGGTTAAGCACCCACCAACTGATATAATTGGGATTACAAAATACTGAAGTTGAGAATATATTTGGTACATTGAAGTTTCACGTCAACGTGTAGTTTAACTGAACTCTGTCGCACAACTGTTTTTTTTTTTTTTTCTTCCTTTTTTCCCTTCCTTGTGCGTGTGTGTGTGTGTTGGGGGCCGCGGGGTAGCCTAAATGATAATCTTAGGCTTCTTTACATAAGATTTGTGAAAAAAATGTAAATAAAATTGCATGTGAAATTGTCAATCTGTTTTCAAGCTCTTACTCTTCTTTATTGAGAAATCATCTTCTACTTGGTGTAACGATCTCGGCGTTCCCCAGTCAGAGAGTGAAGATTGGAAGCATCACCGTATCTGGCCCTTGAGTGAGATGTAACCTCTATTGTTTGGTATTTTTGTACTTCTGGCAGATTTCGGATAGCAGGCTTTGAGGCCTATCATGCTTTTGATTCTTGCTTGGCTATTAAAATCTTAGAATTTTTCATGTGACAATGGAAGTTTGTGCTTTCTTTGCATATAGGTCGAGGCTTATGAGCACATCTGTTATTTGTACCTAGTGATTAATTAACTTCGTCTCCTTTGAAGCCATTAAAATGGCATATTGCTCTAAACAGCTTTTTTCAACAGGGTTTCTTGAGCATGGTACAGGAAATGATAACTGATGCAAGTGTTGTGAAAATGAGATAATTTATAAACGGTGCACTCTTTTGAGGATTGAGTGATTTAGTGGATTATTACGTCAAATCCCCCTGTTTTGATTAGTGTGGTGGAAATTCAAAGTTCAAAGTCTTCTCTTTCTTTAGGAGTGGGAGGGTTTCTCAGGAGGAATCTGGCTTCTATGGAACTCTTCGTCAATCAATGTGATATATTTCACGTACTCACTCTTGATGGGGGCAAGAGAGCGCTCGAGTCCCTGGGGGAGTCACTTGTGAGCAGCTGCCGAGACGATAAAAGATAGAACTCTGCCGGAGAGCATCACCTTGATTGTCCCATAACTCAATGTGAGTTTTTCTATCTTGATTTGAGATTAAAAGAGATGGATAAGAGGCTATGAAGGGGCTGGGAAGGATGTCTATATTTCTGGTATCCAACTCAAGGGAGTATGAAGAATAATAGAGTTTTTTGCTTCATTTGAAAATCCAATGTTGATCGCCTGATCCTCTGTAAGTTAAGAGAATTCTGTCATCAGTTATTCCAACAATATGGGCCTATGTTTATAGATATTTCATTGGTTATTTTACATATTTACTATATTTTTTCAAAAACTTTTAACCACGACATTCAAAATAAAACCGTACATAAATCATTTATAAACTAGACATAAACAAAAAAATTAATGCAATTTAGGAATCAATGAAAAAGATAACTGAAAATTAACAAAAATAATTAAGAAAAAAACATTCCTAAAAAGAAATAAAATGTGATCCGGATATTGTTGACAGTTAAGCAGCTCTGCACATTGCTGCTAATTCTCAATTATCAGTCGATGCGGATTTATTGTGACAGTTAAGCAGCTCTGCACATTGCTGCTAATCCTATATTTCATTAGCGCACGAAGCATACTGAAGTCGATTGTCATTTTCTTGGTGATGCTCTTGTTCAATGTCTCATTTCTGCGGCTCATGTTTCCACTCATTCACAGTTGGCAGACATTTTCACTAAGGCCTTGGAAAAACGCGATTTTGATTTTTTTCTCGGCATTGAGGTTGCTAGGAATTCTTCGAACATTTTCTTGTGCCAACGGAAGTACACTCTTGATATTGTGACCGAGATCGGTCTACTTGGCGAAAAACCGATGACTTTCCCATCGAACAAAAATCACAATTGGCGGACATCTTCCCTTTGACCATTCATAAACTTTAAAATAAAATTTAGTATATTTATAATGAAGAAAAAAATATGCCTAAATACAAATCTTCCCTTTGACCATTCATAAACTTTTAAAATAAAAGTTAGTATATTTATAATGAAGAAAAAATATGCCTAAATACAAAAATAAAATGAGATTTGAAGGTAAATTGTGCTTTTATTTCATTTTAGGAGTCTTTTTTCCACGGCAAAAGAAAAAATCTTCACATAAAACTCAAAGATAGAGTACAACTGAATAGTCAAATGACTGCAATCACATTGGCTAACAACTTACAACAAGAACACAAAGAAGAAGAAACAAAATTTTAAACTCTAAAGCTACTGCCATGGCAAGGATGTCTTGTGACGGAATTTAATAAATGTTGTTGAAGGCAAGTGATTCTTTAGTTTTGAGGCCAAGGCGTCGTCTGGAGACAATATTTAGATGCAAAGCTTTCTCCAGAATCCTCCATATATAACTGCAATGAGGCCGGCCACCTTCCTCACTAGTTCCCCAAACTCCTCCTTAACTCATGACCAGTTCTGGATTAGGAGGATACCTTGTCTAAAAACACCACCAACTAGCCCAAGCCATCCTTTAGAAGAAGAAGATAGAAAGATGAATCTCCCACAGAAGTTGGCTGCCCACTCTTCCTTGAACTCGATCGGATTTGACTCCAAGACTGCAGAAAATTTTCAGTCTACTCCTCCAAGGCACCCACCCTTAGCAATCATATATATTCTCTAAAGTCCACAAAAAAATTTCATATACTCAATGCAGCCCTATTAATCATATACTCATACACAACCTTCATAATGAGTTATCATTTTTTGTGCTAGTGCCAAATGATTTTATGACTAATAGGAAACTGAAGGATTAGTTCAACATTAGGAGGGAGGTTTAAATGTTTGACAAATGATCAGCTCTCTATATATCCCACTCTCTAGTTTATTTGATAATGAGCTCATCTACTCTTCGCAATCTCTATCACTAACACTCTGGATTAAATAAAATAAGAATGAGATGGAAGTGAAGGAGAATTCCAAATGACAGATTGAGGTACCATCACCCACCCTATACCTAACCCCCAACTTTAGGATCCTTTTACATCCATTAATTTTCCTTCCAAAAATATTTTCCCCTCAAGGCTCTACTGACTAAAGTAGTACACTACGTTGGAAAGACATTCGAAACTACGATTGTTTGTGGAAACGTGGTTTATTTTATAGTCTCAATATCACAAGGTGAACAACAACAACACTAACACTAAATACTTGGAAGAAGACTATGCAAGGAAGAAGGAACCACAAGCCCACAAGTAGACTTGTTCTGGAGGAGGTGAGAGGTAAGGTTTCTTCTTCAATACCGTGTGTATAAGTAGATATGCCACATAATATTACAACATGTGTCACCAAAAATGCACCAGTGCCTCATCGCAGTGGGAGGGTTGTTCGACATCTCGATGATTTCATGTTCTTGGGATAGTCATCAGACTTAGTCTCAGGTCTTGAGTTGGAGTATATTGTACAAGCTCGGCTTTGTGTTACTCCCAATTCTATTTTGAATGAGATTCATGCTTTCAGTCAAGTGAATATTCCTAGTTATTTATTTATACAAACATAGCTTATTTTGCATTGTTAATAATATGTTTCAATGTATAAAAAAGAAACATCATATTGTCGGGTCTTTCTAAAATATAAATGTTTATTTATACTCAAGACATAATTAAACTAACTATTGTTAAAGGTTGTATTGTGATTTTTGAGTTAGTTGATCTTTGACCAACGAATTACACTAGTACATCTTTGATTATTGAACGGACCTAAAGGAGGATAAGATTATTTTATATTGACCAAGTAAATAATCTAGACCTCAGTAATTGTTGCATTCTCTTAACCTGTAAGATAATAAATGGGCATATGTATTCGATTATTGTTTATTTAACTTACCAAGGGCGAGAATTATTTTGTAAGGTCCATAGACTCGATATTTTGGTAAAAAAAAAAAAAATGCCGATTAGATGATGTGTCGCTGAGATTATTTACGGACACAGTGTCCTGGTACACCAGGTTGATGACGTCCCCAAAATGAGTTTAAGAAGAATTATTATGTTAAACACGCTGGTGGATTTAATTACGACATAACAATATATAACTGAGTGGTACTAATTTTGGATCAAGAAATTAATTAATAATATTGTCAGTAATTTACATACTCAACATATGGTATCTATCTATACTACTTTAAAAGGAGGAGTGTTTTTGTAAAAATTCATAATGCCTAAAAAACCCTTACTTTGACATAAATTTAATGGCAAAATAGTAATACACTAATACACATCATATTTTATTTATATATTTAATTAAAAAATGAACTACCTAAAAAATCCTTACTTTCACATGTTTTTAATGGCAAATTGGTAATATACTAATGCCATCATATCTTATACCCTCCATATATATAATTAAAAAAAACATAACTTTTTTCAATTCAACGAAAATCAATGAAAATAATATACTTCTAAAAATTTTATGAACAAAAGTTGACTCGACAATATTATTAATGAATTTATGAATTGTAAATATTTAATTAAAATATTAATTAAAAAAATGTAATTATATATATAATATAGTATATACAAATATTTGATATATAGTGAGGCAGATGATCGATAAAATTCTATACTTTATATTATGTCTTTTTTGACAAATCTACAGTTAAGAACATGTGAAAGAACAAGATAAAGGTTTAAAAAAATATTAAACATAAAAAAAATATGAATAATAACTAAGTTATGACACATACTAATAAATATAAAACAAACTAATAAACAAAAATAATATAATTAATATAACTAAATATAAACCTTCTAAAAATATTCTTATCGATGTAATCGAACTGAGTTGTTAAACTCTTGTTAGTTTTTTGTTCTTATTAATTTTAAGTGTAAATTTGAGGTGATAGACAATAGTTATTTGTACATTTATACATGTAGACTAGAAAAAAAAAATATCTTTATTATTCTAATTTTAAATAACTTT